TGCGTTCTGCTGTCGCGTCCTGCTCCTGCTCGTGCCGCTCTCACTCCTGCTCTTATACATGCTGCTCGCCCCGCCTCGGGCAGTGAACTCACTTGGTCTCCTGGGCCGCCCTCCAGCAGCAGGTCGTCCCGCCCAGTATCCGCCTTCGGGAGGTCGGGAGAGCACCAAATTTGGTCCTGGCCGGCGCTGCCTGGCAAGCGGGCGGGCTGGGCCTCAACGACCTCTGATCTGCGACCACCCCTTGCGCGATACGAGTGCCCTGGTTTTGTGGATGAGTGAGACGGAGGATTCGGAGGACGAGGACACCGACGAGGAGGCGGACAGGGGAGGAAGCAAGGAGGGATGGGGTGGGGTAGGAAAAAACGATCAGGAGCCTCGGGCCCCTGGATCGGCTTTCAAGAGTACCGAATTCAGGCCAACGTCCGCCCTCTCTCTTCTGTACCACCTCTTCTTCCTTCGTGGCTCGTTCGGTGGTCATTCGTTCGTTCGTTCGTTCTCCCGACGACTCGAATACCTCTTGGTCAGGGGCATGCCCCTCCCTCGCCTGCGACCTTGCCATGCCGAGGCCGCGCGGTTCGCCCCAGATCTGGGCGGCCAAAGGTGCTGCAGGCGGAGCTGGTGCACGCAGGCGCCGTGGCGGCGGGCGGCGGTCTTGTCCCAGGAGAGGACGTCGGGAGAGGGAGGAGGAGGAGGAGGTGGAGCATGAGGCGGAGTAGGAGGGGGAGGAGGAGGGGAGGGGATGGGAAGAGAATTCTCCAAATAGGCTTGCCCTATAGGAGTCCTAGCTCAAGTCCTACTAATTGGTCCCTTTGAGGGGGCGTCTCCCCCGCCCCCCATTTACCTGTGCAAAAACCCCCCCACCACACCCAAAAAACACAACAAAAACCCACCCACCACAACAACCCCCCCCCCAAACACAACAAAAAAACACCACCATAAATTCCTATGGCTATGGCTATGCCTATGCCTATGCCTCCCCCCTAACTCCTATGCCCACGCTTATGCATATGCCTGCTTGCTTGCTTGATTGCGCGCTTACGTGCTTGCTTGCTTGCTTGCTTGCTTATTTGCTTGCTTGCACGCTTGCTTGCCTGCCTAGTTGCGGATTCCGAGCATGCTTGATTCCCCTGATTCCTTAATTTGAGTCGTCAATCTATTTGGAGGCAACGCTGGCTGACATGATTGTGATGATGATGGCACGAATGATGACGAATGATGGTGACGATGATGATGCCGATGACGACGATGATGACGATGACGAGAATGATTATGATGGTGATGATGGTGGTGGTGATGTCGATGACTATGGTGATGGTCAGTATGATGATGCTGATGAGGGTTATGATGGTCATGATGATGACCATGCTGCTGATTATGCCGCTGATGATGCCGCTGCTGATGATGGTGGTGATCATGATGATGCTAGTGTTGATGGTGCTGCTGCTGTTGGTTGTGATGACGATGGTAACGATTACGACTATGTTGCTGCTGTTGATGATGATGTCAATGCTCATTGTGGTGCTGCTGATGATGATTATGATGATGTTACTGATGATGATGATGTGTTGGTGCTGCTGCTGCTGATAATGATGATGATGATGATGATGATGTTAGAGATGATGATGATGATGATGATGATGAGGAGGACTATGATGATTGTGCAGATGATGATGATGATGATGATGATGATGATGATGATGATGATCATCATGCTGACGATGTTGATGGTGTTGGTGATTTTGATGGAGATGGTGATGGTGATGACGGTGGTGGTGATGATGCTGCTGTTGTTGTTGCTGTTGCCGCTGCTGGTGATGATGGTGATGACGATGCTGATGACGATGATGATGATGACGATGATGATGATGACGATGATGATGATGATGATGATGATGATGATGATGATGATGATGATGATGATGATGATGCATGGTGGTGGGTGGTGGTGGTGGTGGTTGGTGTTGGTGGTGGTGTGGTGATGAGATTATGATGATGATTAATGCTGATGACAGATGGAGAGGCGGAGAGTGAGGAGGAGGGGGAGTGCGGAGGAGGAGGAGGAGGACCACTGCATGCATCAACGATACTGACACACGCCCTCCCGTCGCAAGTCCCCTCGTCATGCGTCCCTGCAGGTGTTCGTTTCCCCTGCGGGGAGCCCCCCCTGCGTCACGCGCGCCTGGTGGGCCTGCAACTCAGTCGAGACCGGAGGAGGAGGAGGCCTCTTGGGAGCCATTTGGGGCGCTCTTGGGGCCACCCAGGGGTCCCCCCTGGTGACGGGGGCGGGGACCCACTCGGGTGTCCCCAGGACTTTCGGAAGGAGGAGGCGGAGGAGGAGGAGGAGGCGGAGGAGGAGGAGGCGGGGAGGAGGGCGGAGGGGAATGACGATGGCGATGGGGAGGAGAAGTTGGGAAGGGGGGGGTGGGGGAAGGGGAAGAGAGAGGCGGCGACGCCTCTGGCGAGTTCGAGGTGCCCGCCGAGGGCGAGCCCGAGGCGCAGGCCGGCCAGTTCGCCTCCGCGCCCACCGTTTGTTTTTGTTTCTTCTCTCTCTATCTCTCTCTCCCTCTCTCTCTGTTTTTTTTGTTTTGTTCTCTCTCTCTCTCTCTCTCTCGCTCTCTCTCTCTCTATCACCCTTTCATTCGCGATATATATATATATATACATATATATATATATATATATATATATATATGGAAGTAGGGCCCGGGGGCGGCCCGGGGCGGTGCCAGTAATCTCCATGGGGGATGCAGGGCGCCCCCGGGAGCGTCCGAAGCGTCCCGGAGGGCCCCTGGGACCGCCAGGAGCAGTTCGAGACCGCCCAAGACGGCCCGCGAGCGCTCCAAGACGCGCACTGATAGCCTCAGGAATGGCCAGGAAGGCCCGCAGACGTTCCAAGAGAGCTCCATGAGGCCCCGAAGGCATCCCAAGAGGCCTCCCAAGAGAGCCCCGACAAGCCAAAATCGTTGATTTTTATTGTTTTTTTAATAGGTTTTTGGCCTTCTCGCTTTTTCGGGGTTCCGACGCTCCAAGACCGTCCAAGAGTCTCGCAAAACCGCTCCAAGACGGCCGAAGAGGCCCCCAAGACCGCCCCAAGACGACCCAAGAGACCCCCAAAATCGTCCCAAGACGGCCCAGGAAAGCCCCAAGATGGCCCAGGAGCCGCCCAAGACAGTTCCAGGAGAGCCCCGACAGGGCTTCAAGACTGCCTAAGCGAGCCCAGCGGTCCCCAAGAGGGCCCCGCGAGGCCCCAAGAGTCTCCAAAGAGGCCCCCAAGAGCCTCCCCGGAGGCTCCCAGAGGCCCCCAAGATGCCCAAAAATGGCCCTGAGCGCGCCACAAGACGAGCCCAACAGGCCTCCGAGAGGCCCCCAAAAGGTCCACTGGAGGCCCTCAGGAGGTCGTCCCCATCATGTTCCCAGAAGGCGGTCCGGGAACATGATTCCGCGTCTTGGAGGAGTATTCTGCGCCTTTCGAGGCGCCTTGGACGACGTACGATTCATATTCTTGAACGCTTTCCGGGAACATGATTTCTCACCGTTTCGGAACGCTTTCCTACTGCTGCGGTGCTCTGGGGGGAAGGGACGGGGGTCCGGGGACATGATCGGGAGGTTAGGGAACGAGGGTTTGGAGAGGAGCAGTAGGACAGACGGACGGGGCCCGGGGGCGGGGGTGGGGTGGTGCCACCGGTTGGATTGGCCGCCCCGGGCGTCCTGTGGGGTCCACGAACCCGCCCAAGACGGCCCATGAGGCCCCAAAGACAGCCCAAAAGACCCACAAGACAGCCTCAGCGAGGCCCAAGAGGGCCCCAAGATGCTCAAGAGCGCCCCAACAGGGCCCGAGATAGCTTGAAGAGGGCCCCAAGAGGGTCTTCAAGAGGCAACACCGGCCCATTCCCATTCGTAAAGCATGCGTTTTCAGCATATTCGTTTGCTTGGTCCTCACAGTGCCCCAGACGCCCCCGAGCCCCAAGACAGCCCAAGAGAGACCCAAGAGGGCCCACGACGGCCCAAACGGGTCGTCCTGTGAGGCTCACGGACCCCCCCCAAGACGGCCCAAGAGGCCCCAAAACCGGCCCAGGAGGCCCCCAAGACGGCCTCAGGAAGGCCCAAGAGGGCCTCGTTCGAAATCATGTTCCCGGAAGCCTCTCCGGGAACATAATTTCCGGGCTTCTAGGACGCCCAAGAGGGCCCCAGGACGGCCCCAAAAGGGCCCTAAAAGGACCTTCAAAAAGGCCCGGATGGCCACAGTTCGCTGATTTGCGTGAGGTGTTGTTGGATTTTTTCCGCGCGGAGGAGACGGAGAGGGCGAAGGAGGAGGAGGAGGAGGAAGGGGAGAAGGAGGAGGAGGCAGGGAGGAGGAGTGGAGGGGAGGAGGGGGGGAGAGAGGACGAGGCTCGAGGGCGATCGACGATCGGCGACGACGACCGGCGACGGTGATTCACGACGACGACGACGACGATGACGACGACGACGACGATCGACGACGGTCGTCGACCGACGACGACGATCGACGACGATGACAACGGTCGACGCCGCCGATCGACGACCGACGGCGACGACGACGGCCACGCCGACGGCGGCGACGCTGCCCGCGTGACAGCCCAAGAGGCACACAAGACAGCCTCATCGGGGCCCCACTTAGATGGGTGCGGATACTATAAAACACTAAATATATCTATTATGCACTATAGGATCCTATCAACATGCATTAAAAAATAAGAAAAATAGTAAACAATAGTGAAAAATAGTGAAAACAATAGTGTTAAATAATGAAATTAGCAAAAATAGTGGAACATAGAGAAAAATAGTGAAACAAATAGTGAAGATGAAACAAATGGCAAATTCTAAGAAAAATCACAAACCAGCTTGCTTTTCTTCCTTTCTCTCCTGGCTTTCCGCAGCGGCAGACCGCTTTTACATTGCAAGTTGCACAGTGCAGCGGTTTGGCCGCTTCAGAACTTTCGTATTTAATCACGCCCAGAACGTTGCGCTCCAACGGGGGAGGGGAGGTTAAGGAGAAGGAGGAGGGAGGGCAAATGCGTTCGAATCCCTGGATGGCAACCTCCGATGGCCTCGTGAGCCTCTTGTCGCGCTCGTACTGGGCCCGCGCAAGGCGTCGCTGCAGCCCCTGAGATGACAATGGCAGCGGCAAAACTGAAGGGAACCAAGAAGCTGAAGGGGCAAAGCGGTCGCACCGCTCCTCCTCCTCCTCCTGTTTTCCTGCTCCTCCCCTTCCTTTTGGATAACCTGCTAAACGGTCATTCCCAGAATCAGAATTTAAGGGGCAAAGCGGACGCGCCGCTGTTCCTCTTCCTCCTACTCCTCCTCCTCCTCGTCCTCCTCCTCCTCTTCCTCGTCCTCCTCCCCCTCCTTGTCCTCCTCGCCCTCCTCCTCCTCCTCCTCCTGCTCTTCCTCCTCCAACTCCTCCTCCTCCTCTTCCTCCTCCTCCTCCTCCTCTTGGATGGCCTCGCAGAGCGATCGCGCGCGAAGGATCGGGGCATGAGGGGCGAAGCGGACGCACCCCGCCCCTCTTCCTTCTCGTCACTCCCGTCCGCTCTCCTGAGTATCCTCGTCTCCTCACAACTCCTCGTCCTACCTCCTATCTCCCCTCCTTCCTCATCCCTTCACCCTCCCCCTCCTTTCCTCCTCCTTTGTCTTATCCTCCTCCCACCTCCTCCCTCCCACACCTTGCTCTTTCCTCCTCCCTCCTCTTCTCCTCTTCCATCCTCCTCCTCCTCCTCCCCCCCCCACCCCCCCTGAGAGCCTCGCAATCAGTGGCAAGCAGGTCTCGCCGCCGTTTTTCGATTGTCTCTCCTCCTCCTCCTCCTCCTCCTCCTCCTCCTCCTCCTCCTCCTCGCCCCCTTATCTCCCCTTGGGTAGCCTCGCGAAGCGGTCGCGCCGCTAAATCTCGACAGCGATTGCCGATTGCGTTTTTTTTTTTCTCGGGAAATGCACTTCGGCGCCTGCGGGTACTTATGCCATATCCACCAATGAGGCGTTCCAGAAGCCTCTTGTGTCCAGAGAGGCTGTGCCATGAAGGGGTCGCGCTGCGCGAACTTCGGGGCGTCGCCCTTTCGCCGCCGTGAGGCGCTGGGCAACACCTGGCAAATAAAATGCAACTCCTGAACAATCAACGCCACGTTGCCGCCTTCCTCGGCACCGCCGAGGATAACCTAGCGCTTCTCACCAATACGCAGAATATCTCCAGCTGATATGCGAGAGCCGCCCACAAGAACGACCTTCGAAACGTTCATGGCGTCGTTGTATTTGACGCCGCGCACCAAGGCATTCCCAAATGAAACATTATGTTGCGCATCGTGGCACTGAAGGGCAATAGCTCGTGTCAGTAATGATTTCTCGAAGCACCGCGTGTTGTCGATGAATTCAGCGATCTGCAGTGATTTTTATGGTACCTCTCCGTCACAAGCGTATCAAGTGCGAACCCATCCCTAAGCAGCTGGCGCGGCAGGTGCCTGCAGCAATGAAACTTCGGGATGTACATGCCGCAATCGCCGCGCGCAGACTCGAAAGCCACGGCGTGGTCGCGGAGCGCCACGGCCCAAGCATCTGCCACAGCCGCGCCCCTCTTGGCCAGCAAATGCAGAAAAATTGGTTTGGCCAGCGCGGCAAAGGAAGCCAGCTCCTTTGCGCAGTCCAGCTTGAACTGAGCGGACCCAGCGGTAAGTACATCGAGAGCGTACCGAATGAGCGGAACGGCCGCGATGATCTCGCTCGCCTTGGCGCTGTATTTCTTGCTGGTCTGCAAGTGCTTTTGCCGCTGGTCGCTGAAAAGCCCGTTGGCGTCCAGCATGCCGCTGGTCGCTGAAAAGCTGCAAGTCTGCCACTGCGCGCTGGCGATGTCCCTGAAGCGCTCCAACGTCAGGCCGACGGCAGCGAGGCGGCACAGAAACTCACTCAGTTCAATCTGAGCGATCCCATTTATGATCACGCAGTGTGCTGGGTCGCACGCGTGCATGTCCAGCGACACGTGCTGGCGAAGCTCAGCGTCCAATAGCAAACCATCTGGCGCGTGATTAACGCCGTGCATCTTGCATTGCTCCTCGAACGCGCCCTTGGGCAGCGTGGCTTGCAGACGCTGGAGCAGGTCCGCGGAGAAGAACAGGTCCTCCGCGGTGCGCGCGTCGAACAGGTTGGGATCAGAGCACGAAATGGGCACCAGCGTGCTCGTCCTGTCATGCGCTGACAGCAGGGGCTCCGAGCGGTCGCATATGCCGTGCACATTCTTGCGCAGAGCGCAAGGGATTACGCCGGCGGCGCCCTTCAAGCACAAGGCATTTTTAGCGCCATCTTCGTCGCAAAGCAGGTTCGACAGCTTAAAGAAGATGAGCGCAGGGGCGCCGCCAGGCCCAATGCCATCAATGAGGATGCCCCTCTGCGACGCGCTGTCTGGGCCAATAAAAAGTCGTCGCAACAGTTGGCGAACGACTCCGGACATCTTGCCCGCAACTTTATCGACCACTGCGTGGCGAACAAAAGCGAGAG